TTAATAAAAATTTTTTCATTTGACAAAAATTATCAACAATAAAAAAATGATATATTAAAATATTGGTTATCAATAAGTAAACGGATGAGAAATGATAGTATAATTTCAATTTATTTTTGATTAAAATACATACTCCACATAAATTATTTCTAAAGTTATTAACAATTTTTAGGAAAATAATCGACAAAAAAGTGTAACTAAAATCTGTTTTAATTAATTAAAATATACAATACATTGAAATAAAACGTTAAAATATTAAATGATTCTTCTCTCTTGCTTGTTTTAAATTTCAAATTAATTCTTGATAAATTAATTGTTCAAATTAATTGTCCATATTTTAATATATCATTTTCTCCATGGCAGAAACAGTGATATAAATAATACTTAAATATTACATATGGATTTTAAACAATTATCTAAAATTTTTGGTGTTTCATTTCAAAATATTTAAATTAAAGAAATTTCCTATTTCTAAAAGATTAAATAATATATTTAATTAGATTTTTTTTTAAAATAATATATCAGCCAATTATTGCTGGAAGTAAAGTAATTAATAAATATTTGAATATATTCCAACTTTTTCCATCTTCAAAAAGGAGAAAAAAAACCAATAACATGGCATAATTTTGATGCTAAATACCGTATTTATCCTTATCTACCTATCATAATTATATACGTTAAGAAGTAAGGACTCGTGAGAAGGATGTCAACGATGTGATGACGGTATGATCGGTTGAATTTTTGCAAAACTTCCGATATTACCGATAACAGAGTAGTTCCCTTTCCTTTTTTTTTTTCATTCTTGATTGATTGATTGACTGATTTATTCAAATCTTTTCCACCCACTTTACTTTTTTCCTTTCTTATCGATAATAATAATTATTGGATTGTATATTCATTTTATTATTTCCTTCAATTGATTGATGTTAATTATCACATTTTTCTTTCTAGTGATATTTAATGCTACACGTGATTTGCATAATTTGCATGTAAAAGAAATGGAAAAAAATTTTGATAATAATTAAATAAAATTTAAAATAACATTTTCAATTATGGAATTATTATTCGTTGATATAATTAAATTATTTTTAATGTTTAAAAACTTGATACAACTAATGAGATAACATATTTGAGATATAGATAATCAATAAATTTTGAAAAATTAATCCTTTTTTTTCTGATTTAGTATTTTTTGATCCGTTTGTATGATTTAAAATGTAGCAAATTTATATGTTAAAAATTTTCTCATATGCATGCAAGTTTACAACAAAAAAAAATGAATAAATGCTATTCAAAATTTGAAACCAATCATTACATCATTTACATGTCAAGTTATAGTTACACTGTGGGAAAAAAGTATATATTTAAAGTGATCCTAAAAGTCAAAAAAAAACAATTAAAAATGAAAATTTAACTCACAAACTAAAACTGCCAAAATTTGCTAGAATTTTTTTTTCTCATTTTTTTCTTGTCCCAATTTAGCTTTTCTTAGTAATTGCTGCGGTTTGAAGTCGATAAATTTTCCATAATTGAGATAATCCATGTGCTTATCCCACTATATTAACCATATATAATACCAATCGGAAATCATTTATGCGATTAGTCATAAAAGTACTTTGAAACATTACCATTGCCAAAATCAAAGTTATTGCATTTCATTTTGAACAAATTTTATTATTGATTAAAACAAAGCGAAAAAAAAAATGAATTCAAATGTAGCACAAAATTTTGATCAAAATTTCCCGGAAGAATTTGAATAAACAAAAAGACAGGGAAGAAATTAATAAGAATGAGAAAAAGAAATAATTTTAGTCATTCTTATGTTTTACTTTGGGCAATATATAGCATACAACAACTATGGCTGTAAATTTCACTCATACCGTGTAACATCTGGTGGGCTGTACAAATAACACATGGTAACACCATTGCTTCCCTTTTTTTTTTCTCTCTCTCTTCCTTTTCCTACTGTTTTTTTAAGCTATATTTACTTTATACTAATTTAGCTTCTTCCTTTTTAATATCTAACATATAAATACCAAACTTGGATATTTTGGTTGTTAAATAAAATTAATAAAATTGTTGGGTATTCTATAAGCAAATTCAATAACTGAGGCTTATTAGACTGTAAAGAATAGGTTAGAAAGATAATAATAATAATAATAATAATAATGACCATGCTATATATTATTAAATTCTTACTGAATAATCCAACAAATGAATTTGATCAAAAACAAATAGCGAGTTGTGTATAAATGATGCAATATTGATTATGACAAATTCAGCTAATAAAATAATCTTCTAAAAAGGTGTTCAAAATGAAAAATTAATTCCTATTATTAGTGGTCGTTTTCTCTCTATATATAGCGCATAAATCAAATATTCACAGATCAGATAATTTTAATCAAAAATTTTATCTTTTTGAGAAACAACCACCAAAACAGAACAATCTTTCTAACAAAACAGAACAAGAAAATTGTAATACAGTTGAAATAAATTAATGGAAACCAACATCGCAAATTAATTTACAAAATAACTGTTTCATAGCGATAATATATATATATATCATATTATTAACAGAAATATCATTCAGCGAAATTCTACCATTCAAGTTATATATCTCATCGTGATTGCTGCAAGTGGGATTACAAAAGAGTATAAAACATACATAATTATTTGTCCCAATATTGGACTTTAAATTTCATTATTTGAATTCACAGTCAGACATTAAAAAATTGAAGATTTCATAAAATTATTAAATTATATCGAAGAAAATTAAAAGTGACTAAATGTCAAAGAGTACTTCACGAAAAAGAAAAAATTATCATAATAATTATCTAATCATTTCAACTCATTCATTCATCGATCAACGCACGCTGTACAAGTATCAATGCGCTTTTTCGCTTATTTCGTTCTTCCATCAAATTTAAACGAAGCGTTTTGATATGCTCATCTTTGGCAGCTACTTCAGCGCGTAATCTTCGACACTGAAATTTATTACTGAATTTAAAAAATTAAATGAATGGAGTGGACGTAGAAACAATATTACAATCAGTTGTTCTCTCGGGAATTCATTATCTAATGAATTACACATGAAGAGTCACGTGTGATGCATATAAGAATGCAGCAACAATTAACAACAAACAATACCAGTTAAAGCAAGCAGAAAGTGGGATTCGAGTAAAAAATAATGATATGGAAAACAATTAATGGTAACCATTTCCCAACATCTTTCGCATTCTTAGTCTAACAGATCTTAATCTTGTCTTTCTCTGCTTTTTTTTGGGAATTCTTTCAAAGAATGTCCCATCAAAGAAATTGCACCCGAAAAAGATTCATCTTATTCTTTATCTCTACCCATATCTTTATCTCTACCCATATCAATTATGGATAATTGAAACATTCTCATCTTACAGTAGAATACAACGTAATTACATAACTTTCGTGTAGATTTAAGATAAACTTGAAAACAAAGCTTTAAGCAAAGACAAACTTCAGCTTCCAGGCGACGATAATCGCGAAGGAACGATTCAACTTGCCCAGCAAACTGTCCCGTAGAATCGCTGCTTACAGCTGATGAACCCGCTTCGGGATCACTATAAGCAAAAGATTAATGAGTGAATGTACCGTGATTTGGATAAGAATAAAAGATTTAATAAAAGTAATATGAGTAAAGCATAAATAAAATCAGTAACATTTAATTCAACATAAGAATATCTCATTTATTCTAAATCTCCACGACATTTAAGTAATAGGAATATTTGATTATCGTTTCAGTCCATCTTCAAATATCAAAAGGTTAAAATCTCTAAAGTATAAGATCAAATCTACCTCCAATATTAAAAGTATAAGTTAAAAAATAATTTTGTTTATGAAATATTTCCCTTAAAATCACGACGGTTAACATCAGCAACTCCTATAACAATGTTTCAGTGCTACAATCTCAATGTTTAAACTAGTACAGAAAACGGATTTAATGCCTTACCCAGTGGATGAACTAGTGAAGATAACTTCTCCTGATGATGAAACTTCAGAATTTTCACTAGCATTACTTACATCATATCGAACAAGCGAATTTTTAGACTGAAACAGATACAGATAAAGATTTAGGATTTCCATAGTGTTGAGACTTTAACTAATATATTAATTTAAAATTTGGAAGCAGAGAAGAATTTCAATTTCTAAATTTCAATTCACATTTTAGTTTTACCCTGTCTTCATCGCTGTCATTACTACTTTGGAAACGAGATGACAGAATGAAGCTTCATTTTCCTGCCAGCACTGAACAAAGAAATTGCGTTATTTACTAGTTTTCTATTTTTGTCTCTTCTTGTATTGTAATGAATACTATCGTATATTCTACATCATTTAGAACGTTTATATCTCTAAAATTGAATTTCGTTATAACATGCCCCCGCATACAATAAACAGTTTCAGTAATACAATAAACAGTTTCAGATAGTACTAGTAATCCAGTTAAGTCAGATAATCAAACAATCTTTAGATAACTCACAGCATTCGATATTAATGCAGAACAAAGAAACGAATGAAGTTCAGCATCTTGCGAGCTAGCTGCGGCATCATCCGTCCAATTATGATTCCGGTGTACACCTAGTAGCAGAAAAGATCTAGTATACTTTATAATGATTAGACAACAATATTGTGGAAATATCTTTATAAAAATATTATTTTTTAGAGGAAAGAAAAAATAGATCAAGCAACTACCGAATTGCTCGAGAATATACTAAGAATCCATTCATTCACAAGTCATCTAATCATGCTACTTCTAGCATATAATTAACATCAATCCATTATTTTTCTTACACACTAATTAAATATTACTTAAGCAATAATAAATAAATTATTACTTTTGAAAACTAACCTTCATTCATGATTTCATAGTTTAGCATAGAACCTTCAGTAGTATTACTTTCCGAAGTGCATGCTTCTGCTTTGACACCTCTTTTTGAAACAAGCTAAAATAGATTGATATCAGTGACAAGTCATATAAAACAGTTATTGCTAAATAAAATAGAAAAATATTAAAGCATATCAAATAGTGGTCTTATGAGATGATAACTGCCCAACAAAGATTGTCAGCCATAATGTACTCTACATAAGTTAAAGTTTTTGCTACAACTTTGTAAAATATTATTTAAAAATAAACACCCTCTCTTCAACTTTTTCAACCCCAGATAAACCAACAATGAATCAATGCAAAAATAAAAAAAGAAAAACTTTCTGAAAAACTTGGAAAGCAAGGAAAGTAACCTCTCTGATTGACTGATGCACATCACCGAAGAATGTTCCTTGCTTTGCACCTTCCAGTAAATCAAAATACAGCAAATATTCATGTTTATGCTTACAACGAAGATGTTTTGTAGCATTTGTGGTATTTGGAGGGCCAGTAAATCCATTGCCACACATTAAGCACATGTATCCCAAAGTCAGACCGCCAGATTTGTAGAATTTGAAAAAATTCCAAACGGGATGTTTGGGGCCTACAAAAACAACCTCGAAAAAGTAGTGATCATTAAAAAATATAAAAGAGATACTCAGAAATCAGGAAAATATGCACTCTAAATTAGGGACCAAAATAGAAGTCATCATTTGTTGAACGATTACATGAAAGTCCATAAATGGTAACATCAAAAATATGCATCATAAAATCTCTAAAACGAAATATTATAGATGCTAGTAAAGGGAAAATGAAATTCATTAGCAGCAAATTGATAATGTAATATAAAATTATCCAGTTTTATGTGAAATGAAACTTAACTTATTAAACAGTTAAATAGAAATTTTCTTCTTTTATAAAAGCAATGTTGCTGATGGAAGTTATAGTTATGAATTCAACCATACTTTCAGACAACGAAAGATTTACCTCTGGGACGACCCTTTGGACGATAACGATCAATATATTCTGCTTCACCAGGATTTAATGCATTGCTTAAACTGATCAGCAAGTGAGATGCATTTTCGTCAGAATCAATTTCATTTTTTACGTTATTCTTCCCTCTAGTATGCGCTTCCCGATTAGCCTGAAAATACATCCAAAATTAGAGCATCGTTCGGATTAACCCTATAAACAGTGATATCGCTACATGTAAGCACATATTGTTAAATTCTGAAAAAATCATCACAGTATACAAAATTAAAATTTGACGACTAATTTTGAAAACTTATTCGTCTGTTTGGAAGGGACAATTGCACGTCACAGTGTTGTGATTGAACAGTGCAATGTTGCTGCTGCATGTTACAATGTTGCGGTTGCACATCACATTGCGGTGTTTCATAATTAATTTCACGTGGTGCACAACGTGAAATATCACGCAACGTCTGATGTTCGCCATCATCATCAGTGCCAATCAATTCTGAACCTATAAGAAAATAATTTCAGCAATTAAATAGTTACATGTTTCAATTAAAATACAGCTAGAATTTTTCAATCTTTTATTACTTTTCCTTTCATTTTGTGTAACTTTCATTCATACTGCAACATACCTGCATCATGATATACGCTATCACCTTGTGGTAATAAACGTTCGGGACTTTCTAGACAATCATCATTCCGTGTAATTTTTGCGATACTACAGCCGGTTTCCTGACCGTATTGTTCCGCTGCAGTATTCGTTAAATATAATGACCGACGTTTACCTATTTCTAATACAGCTGTTGTTTCGGGTGCAACATTGTCATTGCCAGGTTCCTGAAGTGACAACCAGTATATCAACAACCTTCTATACTAACTATCACTAAGCGAGAATGCACCATTTCCATCATATTCTCATTTTTATCTGATGATATTGATCAAGAAAGAAAAAACAGCTATCAATAAAAAAAATTCATTTAAATGTTTCTTTGAATTATTTAAAGGATGATTAATTTACTATAATCATGTAACTTGTTTTTATAAAGTTTATTTAAAAAATAAAGTAAAAAAAAATAAGCGAATTAATTGAAATAATTAAAATAAGCGAATTTATAAATTAATAAATCACCAATAGATGTTGGCATGAAAAATAAGGAAAAAACAATTAGGAACGAATTTCCAAGCGATTAAACATAAAGATAAGAAGTAAAACTCACATTTTTTTAAAATTCTTCACTATAGCAACAAATATTATCTATCTATTAGGATTTGCAAAGAACTAAAAATCTTCCTCTTAGCATACGACTTAAAAATTTCAAAATTCACCGAACATATTCGAACATAGAACATACTTGTTGAATTTTTTTGGAATATGCATGCTGCATATCAAATCATGCATAATCTTAAAAATTTCCAGAAAAATTTTATAATTTTTAATTTTTTGAGATATTTGTGATTATTAATCGATTTAGCAACACTGTACTTGATTGAATGCAAAATCTAAACCTTACGTAATGAACTACTAAAATTATGTTACTTACAACTGTTAGTTGTAAGCAATCTTCAATTACAATTTTCAATGTTCCAAAAAGAGACATTCAAATGACTCGATTAAAAATGCTCTAACTCGATGACAATCTTTTCCAGTCTCATATGTAACATCATTCGTCACACCATTCGTAGTGATTTCTTGACTTCTGATTACATCCGGCTCACCAACTACAACGAACGTATCCTGTGACACTTGCGGTTGTTGATCATAAACTCCAATGCCACCGATTGACATTTTAAATTCACCTGTAAATAGTTAATGTTCAAAAAAAATATGTCAATAAGCTAAGTAACTAACTAACGGACCAATTAATAAATATTTGTCAAATAACATCAAGAAGTAATCAATGGTTCATCCAACATAGCCGATGAGAATCATTCCGAATTTATTACATAAAACTTGAACCAACAACTTCAATTAATTAATCGTAAGCAATTAACTAAGAATTGATAAGAAAATGATTTAAAAAAAAAAAAAAATTTATTCAATACATAAAACTATTTGGTGAATAAAAAGTACTATACGTATGTATAACTTTAATAAATTAAAAAAATAATACACACATCTCGAAAAAAAAAGATTGAAATGTAATTTCAAAAACATTATATACAATACATGAATTATTTTACATAATGATCTAAAAGGTGAAAATCTGAAATAAAAAGAAAAAGAAAAAAAATCAATATGATCGGAAAATTGTAACAAAAACAAAAAAAAACAGGTAAGTATCGGGGTAACCTGAAAATAGATAGGTACCATGGCCTGAAATTAACCACAACACACAACAATTCGTACAGTTGTCGCAGTCTGAACTACGACCCATCGCAATGTAAACTTCAAAAAATTAGAATATTAATACGAATGGAAAAGTTTCGTCAACATCCTCCTTTTTTTTTTCTTGTTCGCCCTTTTGTTTTTCGGTTAATAATAATGAGCTCTCACTCTCTGCTCCAACACTTTTCTTTTCAATTCTTTTCTTTTTACATTTTTCTCAATCTTTGAATATACAAGAAGAATGTATTCTTTTCTAATTTCTTTATTTCTTATCACAGACACTTTCATCTATCCCTCGTCATTCTTTATCATTCTAGCATTTGAAATATTTTGATATGTAT